CATACTCCACTTGTTTATAAAGCTCTCTTTTATAAGGCTGTCTGTTTGCACATCCCTGTTTAGAGAGTGGGAAGCATGATTCAAGAAGGGAGAACAGCAAGCATGCAGTGTGCTGGCAGAGTTGGGTTTGGTGAAGTTGAACAAAAGCAGGGACTCAATCCTTGTGATTAGGTGGCTTGGCAAATGTATAAGAGAACCTGTACTTAATGAAGAAAAATGCTCTTAGGAGAGAAATACTGAATAAGAGTTTAAATGTTTTGTGGGAGAAGTGAAATACGTGTGTATAAACTGTATAAAATACTTTTTTGTGCAAACTAAACTTTTTCACCACTGCCGTAGGTTAAATGACTTCCTTTATACTCAGCCTGTTGCTTTTTGATCTGATTTGCCTGTTTCCCATTTTTTTCTTCTTTTCATAGGTATCCCAGCCTCCACAGGAAACAGTTTAGACACTCTTCAGGATGACAATCCACCCCATTGGCTAAAATCTCTTCAGGCCCTCACAGAGATGGACGGCCCCAGTGCAGCCCCATCACAGACACACCACAGTAACCCCTTCAGTACACAGATCCCTCTTCACAGAGCCAGTTGGAATCCCTACTCTCCTCCTTCAAACCCCACCAGTTTTCATTCCCCCCCTCCAGGCTTTCAGACAGCCTTCAGACCCCCCAGTAAAGCCCCCACAGATCTACTACAGAGCTCAGCACTGGATCGTCATTAGGAAAGGTGGAAAAAAACGTTAGAAATGCAGGAATTGCCCCACCCTGACTCCTTCCCACACCTACCTGCCGCTCCCCCTCATATCTTTCTTTCTGAAGAATCCAGTTCCTGATCAAACCTCCCCCTCGCCCCCAAATGCAATGCGATCACAGGGTCATGACCGTATCTTTTTTTTTGTTACGTTTCTGCTGAGCCAGTGTTTGAAATTACACTGATTTAAAGTTTCCTTAAACATTCTAAGAAAAAAGAGAGAGAGAAATCAAAACGCAGTCTCAATGCTTAAAGAGAATATTACTGTCTTATGTCTTTTTTGCACATGAGTATTTCTGCCTAGTGGAAATGTCAATCTACAGTAAGGGAAAAATGTAATGCAAAATGCAGAATCAATTGCAGAAACATAAAGCAAGTTATTTAATTTAAATGAAATTACTGAACATGTGGGGCAAGCAGAGGCCTAGCATTTATTTTGCATTCAGTGTGTCACTACACAGGGAAATTGCTATGTATTTTTTTTGTTGGAAGGGGGGACTTTATTGTGTCAGTCAGTAAAAGGTTTGACATGAAGTGTGTTGAAGGACAAAACTTGTAGAAGTAACTGGCATGTTGCTAAAGAGTGGTTTAAAGAGGGGAAAAATAAGATTTCTTTTTAAATTTTGGCTTTAGATTTAAAGTAAACTTTCATGTTTTAAAAGTATTCACAGATTTAATACCTAGTGTATACATAATATAATTATAAGCAGCTGAAACACGAGTGATATTTACTTCAGTCTTTCTGTCTCCTCTGTCAGTCTCTCTTTCTTTTTTTTTAAATTCACCTGATCAGGGCACTCTGGGATAGCACTGCATTGGGGCCACATGATCACCATCAGGAGCACAACCTTTGACCTCCTTTGCCTGCAGCTTTTACTTAACCCTGTAGTTTCTGGACGTTTGTGCAGTATTGAAAAGACAGGAAAAAGAAACAGATAAATAAACATGGTTATAACCTGACGCTAAAACTAAAAACAAGGAAATGTACCTCTTTCTTCAGAATTAAAACTAAAAATCTTAAATAAAACAGAAAACTTGACAGTGACTTCGTTTTCATTTTTCTTGTTCTGTTTTTTTTAAACTGCCTGGGATTTGTGATGGTATAACTGGAAAATCCATCTGTCCTGGTATGTTCACACCCATTCAGCATAAATCTATTTGTTGCATTAATGATACTGTTTAATTGAGATCAGAAATACGCCATCTCGTTGAACCTCTTGTCTCAGAACATGGAGAGGAAGAATGCAAGTATAACTGAAAGTGTATGGGGAAAAAAAGTATGGGTTCTGATATCACGGCACCCCGCATAATGGTATAAATATTTAAGAGGTGATCTGCCATGGCTTCATTTCTTTGCCTTTTGTTATAAAGAATTTGGAAAAGCCTTTTGTTTGTTTTAATGGAGACTAGTCTGCTCTGGGTCTCTGAACAACAATAGTAATAGTAGAATGGCTCTTAATATATGGGACTGAAGGCTCAGCCACTCAAAGGGGCAGGGAGTTCTAGTTACCACTTAAAATCTTTGTTTCCTCGTGTCCAGCAAAACATCTTTGTCTAAAGACCGAAGATGCCTCACCTTTCAGTGCAAGTGTGTCAAGAGCCCACAGCATATGAGACTTCAACTAGTTATGAGCAAAGCCAATCCTGATATTTAAAACCAGTGAGCTCTTTGAAATAGAGTAAAGGGCAAAGAGCAAAATAGCCCTGTAGTTTTTTTAAAAAAATCCCCACTTTACATTCTAATGAATGACCTTGTTCATAGCCTAGCTGCGAAGCTGGCAACTTCTTGAGCAGTAGTAACTTGTGAGCAGTTCCCTGGTCCCCCCTCTTCTTTGATACCTGTCGTGCTGCTTAGTGCAGTTTGTCTAGAGTGACTGTTTTTTTCCAGGAAGCCTTTATTTACTCACTAAGGCCTTGCTAGTGGAACTGAATGTACTGGTTCTAGACACATATTGTAATTAAAATTAAGTCCTGTGCTCCAGTTACTCAGAAGAATGCTTTCAGACTTTGTGCCAGTCCTTGCCACTACCACCTCGCACACACAACTTGCCTTAGAAGTGTCAATTGTTGAATGTCCTCTTGATAAAACTGATATAAAAAAAAAATTAAAGCTGGTATTGTGCAGTAAAACCTATGTGTGAGCGCCCCCTGCTGTAGCATAGCGATCCAATATCTGTTTGGTAAGCATACAGACAGCTGAAGAAAGCTAAACAGAAACCATGTTGACTTTAATCCTCCTCTAGAGATGGTGGAAAAGGTTGGGGTTGTTTTCCTCATGGAAAATATCTATATCTATCGCTAGCAAAATTTGTAGCAGTCTATGGAAGTTATTTATAGGGGTTTATAATCCCCTTAAGGCAGCTGCAATCAGTTGATGCTATTTAACAGCAATTTATAGAGCTGCACCACTATATATTTGGATTGGGTCCCATTGACAGTTTGGGGCGCTTAACAGAAAAGCAGCTGTATACATTAGTCTCATGTCTGGTTCCATGCAGGCTTTGAAGTGTAACCTTAAAAAAACACACACACATTTCATACCAGCAATTGTATTATTTTCTTCCACAATCTTTCCCTTTTACTTGACCCCAGAGGCACAATCCTTAACTGGTAACTTTGAGTATTATAACACTGAGATGTGATTACATCCAGTCTGACAGTGTTAGGTTATGGGTAACTGCCTTTCTCATATAAATCTAGATTCATCAGAGCATGATGGTGCTGCAAATTGACTGGCAATACATCAGATGGGTTTATGATGCTTACTGTCTTACTTATCTTGCCTGTTGTGTGGAGCTTCTCTTCACAACGGGAGATAAATCCAGGTTTTGCTTTTCAGGTATCTTGCATCTAAAGTTTTATATGAGACCATTGTTATCAGTGCAGGCTTTTCGTGCTCTGGCCACATATCTGTGCAAGGTTTTTGTTGCTCTTTTCCAATGCTTGCCGCTTGTAATATCTTTAGTAGGTTTTTTTTTTTAATCTGTATATGTGCACATGTGCAGATTTTGTTTTCCTCCAGGAAAGGAAAATGCATGGCCAGTCACCAAATGACCTTTGATCAACAGCAAATGTGGTGGGATGCCTCCTTGTACCAAATTTAATTTCGGGGAGGAATTGGATCAGCTACATCTATAGAAACAGTACAAGTATTTTTGGTATGGGTCTACTTGGTAATGAAATTGTCTTCAATCAAAGATTTCTGATTTTATCAATGCTGTCTCTTTGAGCGAGAAAATTCTAGACATATATCAAATGAGTTAAATAGTTAATGATCTTTCTCAGTATTGCAGGTCATTATAAGGTTTCTAGAAAAATGGCGAAATAGAATAATCCTTAGAACTCCCACGCTGGGTGAAGAACTGAGAGAGAATCCATTCTCTGTCAGGGATTGGCAACTAATAACCCACAGGCCAGATTGAGCCTACAAAGGTATTTTAACCGGTCCACCAAGCACAGAAGTTTGTATATCCCACCATTATTAGTAAGTTTTACATGAGGAGGATGTGCTACTGCTATCCAACAACACCCGGTTTCCTTTGGAACTGGGCTGTGTTCATTTGGCCTGCTCTTAGTAAAAAGCTGCCTACCCCTGGCCTAGGTAGATCTTGGCAAATGCACTAGTGTCTGCCACCATAAATGCCGAGTTCTACAATCCATAATAGTATTGCTAGCCTCAGATATTCAAAAACATGAGTGGCTTGTGTTACGAGGGTTTTTAATTGGATTCTTGTTTGCCTCCTAGGGTTTGAGAGCTTAATGTTTGTGTTTTCAATTTTCTGCCACCATATGGGGTAGAAATGGTGGGCCTTCCTTTCTCTGTGAAAGTCATAGTTCTCATTTAATCGGATGGCTCTAGGAGCAGAGACATTAAACATATCAAATGCTACAGAACTAGTGACTAAAATGCTGAGAGGATGCCACGTTTCTGTTGAGCTTTCTTTAATGTATTTCCTCTACAGACTAATGCCAATTATTACCTTTCTGGTGAAGGGACAGATTTTTTGGAAACTAGTTGTGAAATGTGAACATGAAAACAAAATGAAAGGTGACTGGAGTTATTGTACTTGCTTCTTGCCTTGGGACACTAAGTTACAGGTGAGTTTAGTCTTTGTTTTGTGCTAGCCTCTCATATGTATTTATCCACTGAATAAAAGCACCATACACACAGCATGATCAGCTATGTGTCCTGAGAGAAGTCTTAGGACTGGAATAGTATTAAATGCTGCAGCCAAGAGTTGAGGAGTGTTGGCAATAAGTGTATGTGGAAGGAGGGAAAAGTAAACTGAAACTTAAAGTAATGGGAATTACTGCAGGTCATAATTGAAGAGCAGTAGCAAACTTGATTTTTCTGCAAATGAGAGAAACCCAGGTTTATCCCTCCCTCTTGCAACCTGGTTTCTTTTTGGCAGACGAAAAGTGGGTGTGAAACATGACTGGTATGTTTCTAGGAAGCTACTACTTTTAATAATCTGGGGTTACTTAGCTACATCCTGTTCAGGAATAACAAGCAAACAAATGAAAATTAATTTCAGTGCCAAAGACAACATTTTGTTCTGATGGGTCTGAATCAACAATTTTAAATAATTTTTACTTGGAATACTTTTTTGGGACAAAATGTCATTTGTTTGTCCCCCAGTTTTGGTGGAAAACATGTCAGCTTCTGAATTACTTTCAAGGCAGCAATTCTGTTTTTTTCCCCCTAACTGACTGTATGTAAAGCCAAGGCACTGATCATTCTCTGAGCATATCCCAAAAGCATATTTGCATTTAAAAGCCATTAGTGAGGGAGGTAGGTGTACGCATTAGACCATACAATATTTTTTTATTGACATTTTCCAAGTTTGACCCAACAAAATCAGAAAGCAAATTAAGGAATTTGTGTGAAAATCCCATCCCCTTCCAGGGTGTTTTTTCTTTCTTTTGTCCACATCCAATTCTCATCTAGCTGAACCAGGCGCACACAATGCTGCTCTTCTTTAGCAGAAGCTGTGTTGATTTCTCATCCGTGAAATCCGTTTCAAATAAATGTTATGCTTTTATTTAATATTGTACGTGCAGTGTCTGAATATCTTATAATACCTTTTGATGGAACAAAATTCCACTAAAATTCTACCTTCTAGGGATCATTTCAGTAGTGGCAGCTTCTTGAAAACAATGCCATGTTCTTTGCCAGAGAGCCTGGACAGTTTCAAAAGCTTCAAGAAATGCATGAGGTTCAATAATTTGCTGAAGCTTTGATTCTTTTCCCATGTAATGGCTTTTAGTACTGATGGAGCAAGATAGTTCAGCACTGAACTATCTCCCTAAGGATAGGGGAATTTTCTTCTGAGAGCAGCCAGACCAGCCCACTTTTCTTAGTTACTGCCACTGTCTCAATAACATTTAAAAGATTATTTATTTTACTTTCACTGCAGTTGCTGATAAACAATCATTACTGTTGCCAAACCTTTTTTTTCCCTCTTAAAAAAAAAAAAAAAAAAAATTGCAAAGGATGGTTTTAAACTGGATTTCTGCTCTTTCCACTGTTTTGTGGCATGAAAGGAAAAGCAGAAAGTCCCTTCACCCCATTCCTCCTCTCCTTCTTTGCACCCCCCCCCCCACACACCTTAGAAATAGAAAAAGAAAGGGAATAAAACCCAAACTTTTCAGGCTTGCTTCGTCCTTCATATAAAAAAGGCGCAAACTCATTCCTCCCCTTCAGCTATTGATTGCCCTGTTGCTAGCTACTTTTTAAGCATTTGTTATTCTACACTGCAGCTCCTAAAAGTTGATTTTTTGAAAGTGGTCAGATGTCTAGTCAAAAGGTCCATCTCAGCCTAACAGCTCTTAGGGCTATTATGGTTAAGAAAAAACAGTTTCTGTAGCACAGCCCACAGCAAAGTGATGTAGTTACCATCACATCTGGATACCTGGTAATTCAACCTGGGGTCCATGGAGAAAGCCTTTGATGCGATTCTGGAGTGAGACTTAAACTGTCATACCCTTGGAACCACAGTATCTTCATTGTTCTTCTGTGGTGTGCCACAAACTATATGGAGAACT